TAGTATAATGCATACTTAGATTTGGGATAGGTTTTGTACAATCGGACCCAAAAGAGCAAGTTACCGAAAAAGGCTTTCGCCCATTTTATATATAAAGCACTGATCATCAAACATCCCATAAAAGAGCAAGTTCATCACCGGACATCACTAAATACATAGATAAACTAGATATAAACGGTAGGTACATAAATAGAGAGGGGCACCGAACATCACCATTTCATATATTCGTCAATTTTATAAATATTCATTAAAATTCATATGTTCATAATTTGAAAAAATAATCTGAAACTTCTAAAAATATTGATGGTTTCAGGAAACGTTTTTAAATTTAGAAATGTTCAAAAAACTTTTATATTTTCATGTTTTTATAACATACAAAATTGTGAAATATTAGAAAAATTAAAGGTTAATCTTTAAAGAATGTTCATTGCTCTAAAAACAATGTTCATGATTTTCTAAAAGATAATAAGAAGGAAGAGACAACACAGACAATATAAAAACCAGGAAAGAAAAAACATGAAGATAAAAGAAACAAATAAACAAAAAATGTAAGAAAAAACAACGAAAAACTAGAAAAAAGGAATAAAACTGAAATAAAAAAGTAACAGAAAACCATAATAGAAAAAAGGACACAACTAACCAAAGAAGAAAATCGGTAGTTGAAACGAATTCATGCTAGCTAGGCGAGTAAAAGGGACCTGGGCCTGACCCTGAATGATCGACGGGTGTCGTTTTATTCACCGTACGTTGCGGGCAATTCCTATTTCTCGCTTTGGGCTGGACACATAGAACAAACGTGCATCCCCCCGCCCATGGGTCAGCTCCCTTGTTAAAAAAAACCTGAAAAAACTCGCTAAAAGAAATGTATAAATACTTGCTACAACGAAATCTAGTGAAAAGCCAATCTATGCGTGATAATCATGATAGCTAAAAAGTTGTTGAAAAGAAAAAGAACTGATTTGAGATGTGCTGATGTGCACTTCACGCAAGGATCCGAAACAACATCAAGGATGCCATGGAAGGCGTTCTGTTCGAACAATTTTCGTTCGGTTCAGCGCAGTAAGAGCATCTACGACCATGAATGTCAAATTTGTCGGACAATGATCGGTCACTCCCCAAT